GTATTGCTGGCATCCCATATGGGCACCGGTTCGAGTCCCAGCTGTTCCACTTCCAGTCCAGCTCTCTGCTATGGCCTGAGAAGGCAGCAGAAAATGGCCCAGGTCCTTGGGCTCCTGCACTCACATAGGAGACTGAGAGGAAGCACCTGGGGGTGATCGGCGCAGCACAGGCCATAGCAACCATTTGGGGAGTGAACCAACAGAGGGAAGGCCTCTCTTTCTCTTTCTCCCTTTCACTGCCTATAACTCTATCTCTCAAATAAAATAAGAAAATCTTTTTAAAAAAAAAAAAAGAAACTCAAAAGGAGATGAAGAAAGGTGCCAATGTACTAAGTTTGTCAGTGGGAGTGTGAAAATTGAGATAGTTGAAAACTGATAGCCTTTAACCTTTTCTATAAAGTTCAGGGTTTGGTATTTTGTTTGTCATGAATTAAGGGACCTGAGGGGTATGGTGATGGTTTAGGATAGCTGTTTAAATTTGGATGGGCAGAAACCTCAGATGAAAAGTAATCTATTAAAACCTTCCCTTTGGCTTAAGGTACAATGTAGTAAATTGACCATAAGAACCTAGAGAAGCTCCAGGCCTAACAAAAGTGTCTTGTCCTGACTTTAACATGAAATACAGGATATCTTTGCTCATGTGTTATGTTCTGACCAACTTCATTTTACAAACTGGAGCCCTGTAAATGAAAGGGAGGCTAAGAAATATTTAAAAGGGGGCCACCCTTGTGGTGTAACAGATTAAGCTGCCGCCTACCACACCAGCATCCCATATGGGCACCAGTTTGTGTCCCATTGCTCCACTTCCAATCCAGCTCTCTGCTAATGTGCCTGGGGAAGAAGCAGAAGATAGCCCAAGTGCTTTGGCCCCCACACCTATGTGGAGACCCAGATGAAGCTCTTCGCTCCTGACTTTGGTCTGACACAGCCCCAGCCATTGTGGTTGTTTGGGGAGTGAAGATCTCTCGCTCCATCTCTCCCTCTTTCTGTGTAACTCTATCTTTCAAATAAATTTTTAAAATCTTAAAAACATAAATGTTCAAGAATATTTCTATAATTCTTCAAATATTATTGTATTTTACTTCTAATTCTTCACAAAGTAAGTTGAGCTAGTATAGCCATCCAAGTGAATGAATGCTGGATTAAGTGAAAGAAATATCTACATATTTTACAGGCCCTGATGTTATACTAATCTCTGAGATTCCAAGTCCTGTGGTGGTCTATGGATTAGGAAGAAGATTATGAGATGGCCTTTAAATACCAATGTCCACTAAAAGAAGTTAAAGTTCCTTGGAGAAATCATTGATTCTAGGAATGCAGTAGGAAAAATACTGGACAAACCTGGGAAAAAATGCTGATAAAAGCATGTTGAAATGATAAAATATCAGCCCTTTATGTGATCACACTATTATGGGCATAAAAAAGCAATGATAATAATGGATTATAAATCATTGAATAAGATCAGAAAGTCTATGTCTTTTTAGATATTAATAATTGATGAAAAAATTAAATGTTTGATAAAAGGGTTAAGGTTCTAAAACCAATGGGAAGTCTGAGGGACTGCTCCAGGTTGAAAGAGTCTAAAGGATAATGACTTGCAACTTGTGATTCTGAACTGGCTCCTTATGCCATAAAGGACACTACTGGGATATTTGGCATAAGTTTGATAGAGTCCTTTAACTGCCTGATTTTGATGATTGTATTGTGGTTACATAGGTACTTGTTCTTATTTGTAGGAAATACATGCTAAATTGTTCCAGGGCAGTGGTGCATCAGGTAAGCTATTTATTTACTTAAAGGTTTATATATTTTATTTGAAAGAGTGATAAATAGAGAGATCTTCCATCTGTCAGTTCACTCCCCAAATGGTTACAAAGACTGGGGCTGGTCCAGGCCAAAGCCAAGAACCTGAAACTACATCTGCCATCTCCCACAAGTGTGGCAGGGGCCCCAATATTTTGATCATGCCCCACTGCTTTCTCAGGAATACAGAAGGGAAATAGATCAGAAGTGGAGCGGCCAGGACTCCACTGGTACTCCAGTATGGGATGCTGGCTTTGCAAGTGGCATCCTAAACCACTTCTCCACAGCACCAGCCTCAGGTAAGCAATTTAGCATTAAATGGTCCAGAAATAACAATACTCTCTATGATATAATTTATAATTATAATTATAATAAGAATAAAAACACAAATTCCTGTTACATTCCCATAGACTTTTATTTAGTATTAGGGACTGTTCTCAGAATTTGTTTTTCAACTACTTCTCCAAGAGATTTTTGATGTATTTCAAGTCTGAGAATCATTACATTAGAGAAAACTATGTTATTAACAAGTTAAACAGGAGCAATAAATATGAATTGAATTTTTTGCTATGGTTAGGTTAGGTTATGGTAGGATTTGATGTCTAAGATTATGTTGCTTTTTAGAGAGAAAACATTCTTCTAATTCTTATACTAATAGATACTACTTAATATTTGCTGAAGGATATTTTACATAATAACACAGTAGAGAAAGCTCTAAGAAGAACCCTTTGTGTGAATACTTTATTCACAGTTAAAGAGTTTTTTCTTACAAGAAAAATGCAATAAAAGTGATTGCCAGTGTGGCTTTTCATGACCACCCTAATTATTTACTCTGTTTCCTCAACTATATTATAAGCCCTAGGAGTCTATGTATAGATTTGTTTTTCTCACCATTGTATCTCCTAGTGCCTAGCACAATACAGGTTACATAGTTGGTGCTCACCTGTAGGTTGAATAAAATGAATGTCATAACTCTTTCAATCTCTCTGCGGTAATTTTTCAATGAAATATTGCTATTAGGATATAGATGTTCATGCATTCAGTGTTTGGATTCAATTTATCCCATATAAAATGTTCAGCTATTTAAATCAGAACCAAAACCATTAGCTTAAAACTGGGACAAAGCAATAAAGAAAAATGGCTAGTTTGGTTTGACCTTATTCATCATTGTCTCAACATATTACAGTGGGCATAAACTAATATGTATTATATATAATACATATAATTTAATATGAATATATACTTGTATATACATATTAAGCATATTAATATTATCTCAGCATCTGTCGCTCCCCCTCTTCGTGGAGGAACGACACCAAACCCTGCCTAGGCTTCATATCCGAGTCACGGCACCATTATGTCGCTCCCCCTCTTCATGGAGGAACGACACAGGACCCTGCGCTGTTCTTTTGTCTGCTCGGCCCTTCCTGGGTTTGCTGCTGGTTCTTCCCGGGTTGGCTACCGTCCCTTCCACCTCCGTGGAAGGGCGGTTCCCCCTGCCACTTTCCCCACTTCCGCGGGGGAGTGGCACACCGCCGGCCAGCTCTCTCGGGGGCTACACAGGTGTTATTCAGATAGATGTTCCCTCAGATGTTCCTGGTGCATGTTGTCTCTCTCCTCCTTTATAGTCCTCTTCTGCCAATCCCAACTCGGCTGCCCACACGCCGAGTACGCTGCTCTCCTCCAATCAGGAGCAGGATCAGCTCCTGGAGGTCATCACTCAAGTTGGTAAGAGGCAGCTGCGTAGAAGCTGTTTCCTCCTCTCCCAGTGCCATATTGTGGGAGAGCAGATGCATAGAATAAGTCTTAATTCCAGTAACTTAGTCTAGTCCGAGTTGCTCCCCACAGCATCCATCCAAAGGAAGGGAGTAAATATGGATCTTCTAGAGTTAGATCTGGTGGATCTCTAAAGTACTTGAAATCCACCAAAAGGAAAATTTATCCTAACTACCCTTACAAAGCACACCAGCAGTATTATTTAGAGGTTGGTGAATTGGCAACAGAGATTTTTAGCGAGGTGATAGCTAGAGACACAAGCATTGCAGGATCCTAGGATATAATGGAACCTTCTATTTCTCTGAAATCCTAAGATTGTTTAACAGACTTGGTTTTTATGTGTGTTAACAATAAGTTACTTGGGATTTAAAATAGTAGCACCAAACTTGTTTGACAATTTATATAGAATTATTTTTATAATGTCTTAAAAATAAAATGTTATTCATTTTTTCCGACTTGGAAGGCAGAGAGAGAGAGACAGAGACAGAGAAAAGAGACATCTGTCCATTACTTCACTCAAACACCCATAATAGCCAGAGGCAGGCCAGGATGAAGCCAAGGAGCCTGGAACTCCATCCACATCTCCTACATGGGTGGCAGCATAACTCTAATGAATGTATCTTTCTTCTCCTTTCACATCCTGGTTAACAAAAGCTAGGGGCTGATATTGTGACTAATTAGATTGTCTGTTCAGTTCATCAGATAAATAATGCTTTTTGAGAATTCCAGAAACTAGCCTTGAGAAAGCTGGCTGAAGTTGCAAGGTAAACTGCCCCCTCAACAGTCAGCATGATCAGAGGATTGAATTTATGGACCACAGGATGAAAGGAACCACTGTGACTCTAACTAACCCCTTATTGCCTGGCTTAAGGTCAACATACAGCTGGCTCTATCCTTAGTTCCCCTAGTTCCTGAATTCCCCCTTTAACTCTCATTTCTGCTGCTTCTAAAGTCTTCTTACTGATTTGAAAACTGGGAATAGCACTTTTCAGATTGAAGATGTATGTTTTCCCTCTAAGATTGCTAGGCTCTTGAATAAAGCTATTTCCTTCATCAATTGTTGTCTCTGGTGAATTGGCTATCTAGCAACAATTATCTCAGGCCTAGTTTTAATGGCAGCAGCAGGGGCCCAAATTCTTAAGCAATCACCTGCTGCCTGCCAGGGTGTGCATTAACAGGAAGCTGGATCTCAAGTGGAGTAGCTGGGACTTGAAACACATTCTGATATGGCATGTGGGCATGTGGGCATCCCAAGCAGTGACTTAACCCACTGTGCCACAACACTTGCCTCTTAAATAACTGTTTTGTGGGATATGGCTATATTTTCAATTATTCAAATGCTTAACTCTATTATTATTTGCCTGATGTTACAAATAGTGGAATTAGGGATGTTTATAACACTGAGAAGAATGTTTCTAAAAGAAAAAAAAAAGAGAAAACAGTATTTAAATGCAGATGACACCATTTATTTAAATATAAATTTACAAATGTTTTAAAGCAAATGAAAAATTCAAATTTAGTAAGAACTACATTGCTTTCACTATTGTGCCAAATACATATTTTTTCAGCAGATTGATGTGTTAGAAAAAAGACCATTTTAAAACAATTTTGCAGTGCACCTTACACATCATTGTAATGTATTGGAAATATATGCCTAATGAGGACCACACAGTGACATTTACCATCAATAATTTTATCAGACACAAAATATTAACAAGATAATCTGGCATAAATCTGATAGAACAAAATGGCATCAATTACAGTAAATATCACAATTTACTTGAAGAGAAGAAGGTAAAGTAACAGCCAACACTTGTATGTTACATAACCTAGAGTACAAGTTTCAACATTGTACAAATACAAAATTGAAAATATTTAGGAGAAACAACATTATCCAGGAGTTGAAATTTAGTTTTCAAGATGCAAGAGGGGAGTGAGTTACTTTTTTACTTCTGTAGCATCAAACATTTCTAGTGTTTTAGTTTATAAGGTTTCTAATCAAATTCGTGTTCCAGAGAAGAGTTTTAGTGAGATTTGTATAGAAATGAACGATATGAAACATACAGAACAAATCAAGATTTTCAATCTGGAATCCTGGCAGTTAGTTGTCTGTTTGATTTTTATTTCTAACTGATTAGGAGACAAAGGTCAATGTTTGAAATATCTATTCCACTACTTGCCACCTTAGCAGAAAAAGGTTAAGAATCACGGATTTCTATTATGAATGCAGAGGAACTGAGACTGGAGGTTGAATAATCAATTCTGGGAAGATTCAGTCTCTAGTAAAAAATACGATAGTCCTTTCAGGGAACTTAAGAACAAAATACATTGTGGTGTCAAAACTCTCAGTGATTAAATTTAAGTGATGATGATAGTATATGTATTTCTTTTGAAGTCTCCTGTTATCTCTGTCTCATATACCGTGCATGTGTGCATGAGCATATTCATACACACTCAATGGGGAAGATCCAAAAACCAAAGTGCCTAAATCATGCCACTGCACTCGAACAGAAGACTTTGGGAATAGATGTAGCAGCTGCATCAGCACATGTAGTAGTAATTTTAATTTTACTTTTGAAAACAATCCTAATAAATCTTTGGTGAATGTTGCTACAGAAATAAAATTAATTTAGTAATTTAGCTTTTAAATGGTCATAACCCCTCTGTAAGATTCTTTATTAGAATATTAAGGTAGCAAGATAATAAAATACCTTTTGTGAGCTTTACAAGATTAAGATAATCATAAATACTGAGCACCAGTTCTATATTCTAGTGCTGTGATAATTCAACCTCTGAATAAAGGAAAACGTCACAACAATCCACACCACACTTTATTTAAGGGTACAATACAGGATCAAGTACACATGTCACAAACATATTAAAATATCACCTTGAATGGCACACTGTTTAAACATATCACAATATATACTTAATAAATGAGATAGAAGTCAACAATGGCCAGCAATTAATGTCAATACATATTTTTAAAAATCAAACACAGCATCAGTGTAAAATGAAAAATGTTTCACAATACCAGTGTACTTTACTTACTATCCTCCTTTTCTTTGCAAACAAAACCGAGTTGTATCTTTCATTTTCAAAAGATGGAAAATTTTTTTATCATAATGAATACTGCAATCTTAAGCATTGCATCAGCTCTTGCTCATTTTCTTGGATCAGAGAAGAGCTTTTTGTTTTCAAGACAGTTTGATTCTCTAATCACTGGTGATAAATGTGGCAAAAGAGAAATACGGTGTCCCTTACTTGAAACATACTGAACATAGTCACATGAAGCTGAAACATTTGGTTTGAGTGTTTGAGGAGCTATAATGTGTAGAGGTGTTATTACCGAATTTTGACAATGGGTATTTCCAAATTAATACCTTTATGAACTTTTTCTTCACAGGCTTATGATCTCTGTAAGTACTGCACATGTATTGGCATTAAATCTGATTACCTAATACTGAAATGTTAGATTTAAGGAATAAACTTTGCCATTATTATTTTACAATTTTCAAATTCTAAAATTGTTGTGTGTTTATTTTTAAATGACTGGATACATGTATAGAAGAATTATGAAAATTAGTGAATATCTTCATGGTGATCTTCAAGATTGTTGAGATTTTGGAAAAAAATCAACAATATTAAATGTTGGTATTTCTAACACAGTTTAGTATTATATTAACTATTATATTGAATGTCACTGCGTTTTTAAAGTGAGTTTTATTTTGAAGATGATCTTTTCTTTTATTCTAATATATGTATAAGAATAGAGAACTTGGCTTGTACTTGAATACTAGTTGTATAAGATAATGAAATCTATTAGAGGTGAGTCAGCTTTAAAAATAAACTCTTAAAATATTCCTTTTTAATAGCAAAAATATGCTCTAGGTAAAGTCACAAAGTGCATACTTTAATTTTTTAATTAACAATATTTTACAATTTAGATGAAGAAATTGGATGTATATCTGTTCATTTACTCAAAGAGCCTAAAATGAGTATTTCCTAAGGAGAGAGGCATTTTATAATATACGAAAGAAGGAAAAATCTGGATCTTTTGAATCAGTTAAAAATTTAAATTTAAAAAAGTCTTGAAGTTACAAATTTCATCATATGTTTTTATAATTGAAAAACTGGCATTAATCAGCCTACTTTCCCCACCAAAAAATTCAATTTGGAGGTACATGGTATTCAGGTTCCTATATTTTGACAGAATAATTTTTACTTGGCTACTTTAATATCATGCATGCTACAATTTGGGATACTTTTATACAGTCTGGAAAAATACAACTTTGAGTTTTTATTTTTATAAATCAATAAAGATATAAAATAGACAATCTTATTCTATTCATTGTCCTCACTTTAGTCTTTATTCCACCCTGATTTCTTGATGTCAAAATTGTGGGAAGAGTTGAAGGATTAAAGGTATGGTGAGAGTTGTAGTCAAGAAGAGAGTTGGAATAAGTCTCAGGAATAGGCTGAAGGAAAGAGTCATAACAGGCAATGGGATGGAGTGAACAATGGAAAGAGAAAGTGAGTATAGAATGGGGTGGTAAGAGGAAGAAGGTCAGCAGTGAAGTGAGGATAAGGGATGGAGAAGATATCCAAAATGTGGTAAGGGGTGGGGAAAGTGTTAGGGATAAATGGGGGGATGAGGTTTGGGGGGATGAGGTTTGTGGGTATGGAAAAGAGGTCAAGGATGGGGTGGGGGGTTGCATTAGGTAAAGGATAGAGCCAAGTAAGGGTTGGGATAAGGGATGGGAGTTAGAGGATCGGAGATAATATAAGTTTTAAGAATATAAATGCAAAATTAAATTATTTAAGGCTTATTTGTTCACATTGATAAACAAGATGGTAAGTATCAAAAGAGCAAAAAAAACCCTTTGAAATAATAAAACATCATTTACTTTAAAAGCTACAGTTTTATTCTAATTTTTGTTTTGCTTTTCCTTTTACCTCTCATTTTCAACAAGATTGTCACTCATCAGTGAGGCTCTCTGCTTTTAAAATGTTCACTGAACAAGGCACATGATCTATTAAAAGCACTTTGCTATATTTTGAACTTTTAATTCTAAAACATACTTAAAATATAATCATTAGATGGAAATCTCCCATGCAATTATTGAAGCTTTCTTGTTAATTAATGGATTTTAGAGTAAATAACCACACTGTTTGTCTCATTCTTAAAAAAAAAAAGAAATAGTACTGTACATTCAGTTACTGTTAGATTAATCATCAAGAGGAATTCCCTTGCCACAGTTTTAGATAATTTTTTCTGTAGTTGCATATTTTAGTTTTATACTGGTTCTTGATAACTATGGTTTTCCACTACATGTATAAGGACCAAATTCTTTTTTACTTTCCAACTGTATGCAAACAGATTATTTCAATTATTTTAAAAAATCTTTCACAAACCATTAAATTCCCTTTATTCTAACATATAGGTTATGGTTATGTATGGATTATTTTCCTACTCAGAATGCTTTAGAAATATCTTGATTTCAGTTAAATGCTTTGAGAAATATTTTTGTAACATTATGCTTACTGAAATGAAGGGGGCAGTTATATGATTTGATCTCATAAGTTCTTAGAGAGGTGTTTTTGAGATAAATCATTTTCCCCTTAGCTTTGAGAAAAACAGAGATAATAATATTATTAGTAGTAAGTAAAACTTCTTAAATTCTTTTGCTCTGTAACTTGTGAATTAAAAATCAGTTGGGCTTATCTGAATTCACATTGTACAATTTAATTTAAACACAATCATTTTTGTATAACCAGAGGATTGAATGTAAAATGGTCCATAAAGTTAAAATTTATCTTGTACTCACAATGGGCAGGGCACAGTTTTCTAGAGCCTTACGATAAAAGAATCAGTATAATTACTATGGTTAAGTAGTAATTACTCATTATTATTTTCTGATCCACTACTCTTTCTTGAATAGTACATTATGTGGGAAATTTCAAAATTCTTTCTCCCACCTATGGCATCATAGATTTTAGCAAGTAATTTTCTTCTTATTTTATAGGGTATATATTAGAATATTGAACTACTATGTGTAATTTAAATCTATTTTTATTTGGTAAGAGCAACAGCATTAAAAATAGCCCATAATTTTCTTTCTTCAACACTGCTCCTTAACATCTTTCATGAAGTTATCAGATTAGATTTATGTGAAATTTGTGATGAAGTGTTCTTATTCAATATATTCTATGCTATTTACTCTCTCTTCTGCAAAGTTATGATGATTATTGAGGCATGCTAGGTAAGTTCCCTGAAACAGAAAACTTTAAGATCATAAGAAGATAAATAATGATGTGTCACTGAAACCTCTGTATTGCTCAGTTCTGAACTAACAATATGTAGCAGAATAAAACCAATGCTATAGGTAAAGCTCTTTACAAGATTGACAATTATCTTCTTAGACCATCTTCATATTTGATTCTTTAGTTAACAGTTTCTTTCAATTTCTTAAAATTTTATAAAGAAACAAGCAGCTGGCCATTTTACATATAGTTTTTATATTTAAATTTAAAGCCACTAAACACAATATCCAAATATTTATGGATCATAAAGCATGAGGAATTAAACTCACATAGCAGGGTTTTGTTGGTGGGGGTGGTGTTTTAGTGACAATCTTCAATTATATATCAGTGTCATATATAATTGAGCCCAATTTTGCTGTCTTTCTTTTCACTTGCTTTTTGGTAAATGTTAGTTCTTCGTAAGTCATCTCTCAATTTTCACCTTGTATTACTTTTTTGCACATACAAGGTGGTTCCCTTTGATGGTTAGAATACAATAGTTCTGTTTCACAAAGTCGGTATGACAAGAAAGCATGTAGTGTAGACTATCTGTTCAGCAAGGTGAACTGTCAGTTTGGTTTTCTCTGTCAGGCATTGGCAGTAACTGAAATATGGCAGCCTGTATCCTTCAACAACTTCTGTGGTTTTGCCACTCTATGAAAAATTCAGGTAACTCAAGTCTGAAATGGTATCCCATCTTCTGGGATGGTAAGAAGTAGGAGAAAGAAATCTCACTACCTTTTCATTTCTTTTGAGGCCAAGGCCCTGGTTCAGTAAGCACACACTGAACCAAGGGAGAGAGTGAAGAGAGGGAGGCTAGGCAGCCTCATGACCTCTTTCCTCAAAGACCAAATGGATCCTGTGAGTGGGCAAGACTTTGCCCTCAGACCACAGATTACCACCCCTTGTACTATGTGGTAAGGCACATAATAAGGGGTTAGGTGGTATCCTGTAATTTAAATTGCCCTTAATTTTGTAAAAACAACAGCTACCATTATTCAGGAAATTTGAAAATTTAAATGTACAAATTGAATAGTGGCCCATATGCCCTAAAATTGTGGAAAAAATTTGTATTATGTATGAATATAAAGTAATGAGATTACTTTCCCTAATGTAGTTTAATGAGTTAATCTCATTACCTTCCAGTAATACCTTATCTATCTTAAGGAATCTGTTGAAACAAATGTGTTTGAAAACCAAATTTTATATAGATAACTGTATTTTTGTAATTTAAATAACATACTATCTGGGCCAATGAAAAGTGGTCCTTGTCTCTCTGAGAGGGCATTTTATTAAGTAAGTTAGTAAAATATGTCAATGATTTTTCCCTTCTGTCCTATATTTTTATGACAAAATAATTTGGTAGTTGGGGAAATGAACAAAATTAATTTTTAGAATAAATGTAATATTTTAGCATGCAATATTTTAGGCATCCTGTGGTGCTGTTAGTGTTGTCTTATCCATACTATTTACATCACAACCACGTATACTATTTACAGTTCTACAGTTGTTTGTCTCCTTGTATTTTTAAGGCTTCCAGTAAATATTTACAATTTTGTCCGACATGTGTCACAAAAATAATGTAAATAGTTAAATATTCTTGTTAGTGAACTTTCTTTAAAGGTCTTGTCTGGATATTTCAGAGAAGCACTGTAATCAATAATCCTCTGCCAAATCTCCTGATTCTTTACATTTCAGTCAATAAATTTCTTGAACATTAAGCTGGACTTATCCATACGACTGTTAATAACCATGAGATTACTTTTATTTGCCCATCAAAATATCCAAGAAGACCTTAAGTTATCAGAAGTGTGAAATGGCAATATCATGTGGAGCTTAGTTGGTATTTTGTTTCGTGATAGATGGAGATACTGTATCTCATTACCAAGTAGAAATCTGAGCTTGAATAAGTAAGCATGTGACTCCTCTACAACTCATCCTCCCAAATGAAATCACACAAATAATTGATAATTATTATTAAGTACAAACTAATAAGTAAACTCCTATCTTGTTCCAAAAATTCTGATTGAAGATAATCGTAATAAGTGTATGTATAAATTCATTTGTGCATTCTGAAATTAGGTGTCCTATTTGTAATTGTGTCAAATTCGATGTATTTCTATTTTGATGTTAAGTGTCATAGTATGTTCCATAACTCTAAGGTCTACTTTGTAAGGTGTCATTTTTTTATAATTGGTGTTCACCTATCTTTAAGAGTTCAGTGAGTGGAGAGAAAGCCATACGTCTGGATGTTCCAACATTGTTTCGGAAAGTTTCCATATTACCCATGGAAACCCCAGTACCACTCCCCCTAAGAACTCCACCATTGCCTCTAAGGACTTCAGGATTACCCATAGGAACTCCACCATTGCCCCTAGGAACTGCAGGATAATCCAAGGGAACCCCAACATTATCCACAGGAACTCCAACATTTCTCATGGGGACTCCAACATTAACCCTGGGGACACTGATATTATTCCTGGAAACTCTAACATTGCCACTGTGAAGTCCAGCATTATTTCCACTAATTCCAGTTTTGCCCCACATTGCAGAAGAATTCTCAAAGCTTGGATTGATAGGAGGGTGCTCGCCAGAACCTGACAAAATGGCCTTTTGCCAAGCTTCTTCAATGCTGTCTCTTTCCTTTGCATTTTCTAAAACAAAAAAGCAAAAGTTGTTTTTAACTGATAGAAGATTGATTTATGTATTGAAAAGAAACTGAATATGAATAAGGATGTCCAAATTTGATCCAATCACCTTAACAATTTAGACTCACATGGCAATATCACCACAGTTTGCAACCTTGGGTTTAGCAAAATATCTTGAAAAACTGTTTTGGTTGTAAAAGATGGACAGAGAGAAAACAAAAGTTCTGACTAGATGGTTCCACACAGTGACCAGGAATTTGCAGGTAGAGGAAAATAGAGAAGTAAGGGAAAGATGGGGTTTAGAGACTGAGGAACTTTGTGGTGAGAGGAGTGCTGTATGGGGAATGTTAGCCAATGAGAAATTACAGAAGTGTTTGGCCAAAGGGCTTTTTGGGAACAAACATATTTAGTATTAAATTCTTTTTTTTCTTTTGAAATATGAAAAAACTTATAGAATCAAGATTCCAGTGGAAAGACGAAACCATGAGAATGAAAGCAACCACGAATTTGAAGAAATCTTGAGGATATTGGATGTGAGATTGGGATTGAGCTAACTGAACATTTCAAAGGATGATGTGATCTGAGCTGACTTTGGGTTATACTTTAATGTCAACAACTGATAAATAACTTCTCAGAGCCCAAAATATGTGTAGAAAAAGAAACAAATTACACAATGGTCAAATTATGACTTCCAGACGAAGTTCAGATTAGATTTCAGATTCTTCTCTGAAATTATTTCAGTGGTTTGGTGGGGCTACTTCTCAGAGTTTCAGTTGATGACACTGTCTTCATGAAGGTATGGGGACAGGCTTCTAACATAAATTAGAACCAAAAATTCCTAATACTATTTGGGTATCTATAGGGGTATTTTTGCAAATGTTTAAACAGCTTTAATGATTAAAAGCAAACATTTTACTTTATAATTAACAGGAAATTTCCATTTAGGATTTTAATATATATATTATAAATACTTTATGAAATATATTGTATTAATATAGACTTATATGATAGTTCATTTGTCAAATAATACTTTGTAGTCACTAGGATGCTCACATATAGGAGAAAAATGGAGCTGTTACTTGTTTGTCTTTTAACCAACAGGGGATCCTGCACATTATTCCATCCATTTTCTAATCTAAGCAACTATTATTTAGTTACTAGGTGATGGATATATTAGAGGATACATTTTTCTATTATATGGATTATATTCTGTGCAGAGTCAGAATTAGTCATCCTCTCAAAATTATCCATGTACGTGGAAGTCATTTTAAAAAGAGAAAATATAATTCAAACTTCTGAAGTCATAACAATCTTTATATTTTAAGGTTTTATTTCCCAATGATTATCAACTGGTGCCTGATTGAATTATCCAAATTTAAGGTTAGGCTATCATCTCCAAATATAAGGCTTAAAATTGAAGGGCAGTCATCAATTCTATGAGAAAAAGCTAATGTCTTATAGGATAGAAAGAATTAGACTTCCAGGTGGTGATTTGGAGATTAAATTTACTGAGGAAAGTTGTCTTCTCTGGAACATTATATGTAATTTACAAAAGTTGTATAGAAAGTTCAAAAATCTTACCTCCTATGAGCGGATTATGATCAGTTGGAAAACAGAAGCATGTCTCCTCTGGATTTAATGTTAACTCAGGTGCGTTTAGGTTTCTGCTCTTGACATCACTGTATCGTGGTAAACTGTGACTTTGCTGCCGCCGTGGCTTAGGTTGCTGGGGTAACAATGGGAAAGGACCTTCCAAACCATGGGGATGATGTCCCTTGGGAGGGGTGATTGCTTGATTCTCCCCCTCTGGTTGTAGGTGATAGCCAATTTCTCTGTCCTCTTCTGTGGGAACAGTTTGGAGAATGTGGAGCCCTTCACTGTTCAGTGGTGCCTCTAAAAGCTCTGCCCAGGAACGCCGGAAGATGGATCTTTCTCTAAAAGGATACATGTTTCTTGCTACTTCTAGGTCATCACTTCCTGGGGACTCTGCATTTTCTGGAGATTCCAGCCACAGATTTCTTGGGGTTCCTGGGCGACTGTATTCTGAGGATGGTGAACATTTATTTATTAAAGCCTCCAGGTGTATAAACCCAGTGAATTTCAAAGTTGGAATTTCTGTATCATCTAGCTCCTCCTTTCCAGGCACACCAGCAACAAGTATTGCTGTGCCTTTCCCCCTTTCCTCTGGACTGGCAATTCCTGTAACGTCTAAGCGTTGAGATTCTAGGACCCCTGGAGATTTAATTGGCATTTTCTCTAGGCGAAGAAGCCCTGAAGTTTTTGGTCTTATAAGGGCAATGCTTTCTAACTCTTTTGTTAGTGGGGTGGTGGTAACCATCACCACCTGACTGATAATCCCCAGGTCCCTCTGATGGATACCTTCTCGATTGTGTTGACGGGAGGCCAAAGTTGATTTCTGTTGTTTTTGTCTTCTGGCCTCTTCCCGAATGTCCGCATCAATAGGACGAAAATAGATGAACTCATCAGAAATATTTTGAGCACGTCTGTATTGGAAGTTTGGATTCACAGAAACAATCTGAAAGAAAGTTCCCGTTCAAAGATAACACGTTACCTCAACAAGTATAATACTATAATCATCTATCCTTGAGCACACCTTCCAAGTGCAAACACACTGATCCAGAGATTTTTTTAAAATTTATTTTATTTTTTTTATTTGACAGGCAGAGTTAGACAATGAGAGAGAGAGAGAGAGAGACAGAGAGAAAGGTTTTCCTTTTTCCGTTGGTACACCCCCCATGGGGCCACTACGGCTGGTGTGCTGCATGGATCCGAAACCAGGAGCCAGGTGCTTCCTCCTGGTCTCCCATGCGGGTGCAGGGCCCAAGGACCTGGGCATCCTCCACTGCCCTCCCGGGCCACAGCAGAGAGCTGGACTGGAAGAGGAGCAACCGGGATAGAATCCGGTGCCCCAACCGGGATTAGAACCCGGGATGCCGGCACCACAGGCGGAGAATTAGTCTAGTGAGCCTCAGCACCGGCCTGATCCAGAGCTTTTAACCCCAACCACCTCCTTTATGAGCTCTCATGCTCCAGGCTACTATCAGCCTGCCTGAGTTAGCCCAGGGTGAGGTACCAGACAACTAGAGACAGCCCCTAAACCCTAGGGCCCATTGAAGTTATTCAAACTAGTTAATCCTAAACCATTATTTCATACAAGGACCTTGGAGCTTCTCTGTGTGCCTTTCCTCCACCAACCAGTGCATGATGCGCTCCCTCCTATTGGGATTTGTGAGTAGTATAGCAAATGATCTTCTCAATCACAGCTATCTCCTGATCTGCTGGCCTTACCTTATACTTGTATAATAATAATAATAATAATAATAATAATAATAATAATAAAACGTATTAAAATACTCACATACCACAATCACATTTAACTCACACACCATAACCCATTTAAACAGTGCGCTTCAGTGTTTCTTAATATATTCTCAGTTTGACAGCTATCACTGCTGTCTAATTCCAGAAAATTGTTATCACCCAAGAAAAGAAACCCCAGGACACCAGCAAAAATGACAGAGAAAGCAACCATGAAAATTTTCTTCTCCGTAGAAGCAATGAGAAAACAGGTAGAGAATACAAGAAGTAACTTTTTCAGAATTCCAAAACTCAACTAAAGGCTTACAGCAATCTGGCATCATTTCCTTGAGAAAAATAGCTGAATATTGGAAAGAACAATGAGCTTTGCTGCATTTTAATTTGCTCTACTCCCATCACCACACTCTTCCCCCTACCACCCCCCCCCCCCCACAACCCAATTCCATGGTGGACTTGAAAACCAACAGCCTGCAATTATGGTGAAAACCAGGAACCTGGCAGCCATAGGAGGAGGCAAGGGACTTGGGCTCCTTCAAAGAATCATGCCTGAAGAATTGTCATTAATTGACCTGTCTGGCAACCACTAATCTGCTTTCTGTCTCAATGGCTTTGCTTATTCTGGGCATCCTGTATATATAAAATCATATAAATTTGTGTCCTTTTCTTCCTGGCTTCTTTCACTTAACACAATGTTTTCAAGGTTCATCAATGTTACAGCATATATCAACACTTCATCCATTTTTATGGTCAAATAATATTCCAATGTCACATTTTGTTTATCCACTCAACAGTTTATAGATATTTGGATGTTTTTACTTTTTCACTGTTAGGAATAATGTCACTATGTACATTCATGTTTAAGTCTTTGTATGGGTAAGTTTTCATCTCTTTTGCTTCAGAGTGGAATTACTGGATCATGGTTTAACTTTATTTGTGGAACTTTCAGATTATGTCTCAAAGTGGCAGCACTGTTTTACATTTCTGAGAAGTCTTTTAAACTTGTGTTTTTTCCCAAATGTATTATAAAATATAACATTTTTTATAGAAGAACTTATAATCATTTTATGAGAACATTCTTTGGGAAAGTATGTTTCAATTAAAAAAGACATAACCCTCTTCCCATTGTCACCCCAAAAGAAATAAAAGTAGGGAACTACCAAATACATATTTATTCCTCCTAAAAATATCTTACAGTAAAAGGCAAAAAAGTTGGAAGAGGTTTTGTAGGTCCTAAACTCATTTTTCATTTGATAACACCGCCTAGAATAACTAAATATTTTTTAAAGATTTATTTATTTATTTTTATTTATTTGAAAATCAGTTACACAGAGAGAGGGGAGAGAGAGAGAGAGAGAGGTCTTCCATCTGAAGGTTCACTCCCCAATTGGCCGCAACAGCCTGAGCTACACCCATCCAAAGCCAGGAGCCAGGAGCCAGGAGCTTCTTCCAGGTCTCCCACGTGGGTGCAGGAGCCCAAGGACTTGGGTCATCTTCTACTGCTTTCCCAGGCCATAGCAGAGAGCAGGATCAGAAGTGGAGCAGCTGGGACTCGAACTGGCACCCATATGGGATGCCGGCACTTCAGGCTAGGGCGTTAACCCACTGTGCCACAGTGCAGGCCCTGAGAATAACTAAATATTAACCTGAAGTACTCAATGTGATGCTATTGCTTTATTCACTTTTTTCTTTTGTTCTGATTATACAAGGATCATATCATGAAAGTTAGAAAAATATTTTTAGTGAGTGTTCTGGGTTTTTCTAAATTTTATTTTATGCCTTTGAAATGTGGATGGAATAAAAAAACCTACCTGAAATAAGGTTATGTAAATAAGGTTATGAGATGATTTTACAAATTATTATCAAAGTATTATGTGAATTAATTTTTATCTCAAGATTACATTCCTTCAGTCCAATTTAGGTTGATGCCATTGTTCCAATGTTCAAAGGAAGAAAAATATACATGTGTCAATGTCCACCTAATATATGTTTTTTTAATTTTTTTATTTCTTTTCATTTTATTTGAAAGGCTGATAGATACAGAGAGAAAGAGACAGAGAAACAGAGAGTGTCTTTCATTCACTGATTCACTCTACAAATGTCTATAACAGCTAGGGTTGGGCCCATGTGAGTAGCAGGGATCCAAGTACTTGAGCCATCACCTGATGCTTCCCAGGGTGCATATTAGCAGAAATGTGGATCAGAAGCGTAGCTGGGTTTCAAACTAGTCACTGTGACATGAGATGGGAGCATCGCAGGCAGTGTTTTAAGTGCGGTGCCAAGCACTCATCCCAATTATACCAGTCTTGATCACATCAGTTAGTGCAGCAAAATGAATGGGAGACAAACTGTACTCCTTAATCTTTTGTTATTTTTCCCTACTCTATTTCCTGGAAGTGGTATTTAGATTTCACACTAAGCATTTTTATTCAGAAGCTGCATTGTAGCATGAATACACTTTTTAAAAACTGCTGAATATGCTTGTAAACAATGGAAAATTTGAGTTTTTTTATTTGGCTGCCACTGACCAATATTGAAATGATGACAATACTTACAGTAGTTGCTTCATAGCAGTTGGTACACCAAATCACAGGAAACTCTCTTTTCAGGGCCAGAACACATTTTGCATAAATCATGGCACCAATACGCCGGTATTCTGTAAGAGAAAAAGAGAGCTTTAGTTTCGAATAATTTATCTGAGGTTAACTTGTAGGTTGGAAAACTCTGTGATAGCCTTAGATATATGCTAGGGTTTAAACAGAGGGAAGATAATTTTTAAAGGAAACTTTTTAGCCCCTTTTTTCTACCTTTGAGTACATAACAGCCTAGCTAATAATGACAGTGCTGCTATTTTTCAACTACTTTGGAATTTTGGAGTATATGGATAGTCCTACTGCTACATCCAGGATTTCATTAAAAAACTATAAACAGAGATAGTTTTTGTTATCCAATAACTATCAATTTTAAGAGCACTAAAACTGAGTTCACCCATGCCAAGACTGCGTTTTTCCACCCTTCTTTGCCATGTATGTATGTGCTTCTGTGTGTTGAAGGAATAGTTCAGTAAATAGTTATCTATCAGAAACAGTGATTTTTAAGTAATTTTGTTTCATTTATTTATTCATACTTAATAATGTGCTCCAACTCTACAACTAAGTTGTGGTGTGACTTTTAATCAGTAAATATTGGAATTTGTTAATTCACTTACTTTTTTATGAACATGCAAATTAGTAAAAATGTGTAGGTAGTATTTCTGCCTGAGCCTTTTTTCTTTTGTCTTTTTTCCCTCTACATTCCATGTCAAATTACATGTAAAATTTAAAAATTATTGGCAGCAGTAATGAATACATGATAATGTTTTCCATAATAAGAACTTTTGTTTCCTTGGCTCAAAATCACTTTATAAATGATTCTTCTATCAGTGGAAGTGATCAAGTGATATTTGTTGTTTTTTTAAGGGTACTGAGGAATTCTAGGGATAATAAAAATTAGATTAACCTAATCCTGATTTTGACCTTTCAGGCATTTATCACATGGACAGAATAAAATTATTATATGTAGAATTACAAAAGGGCATAAAAATCTATATCCACTATATTTAGGATTTGCAGTGTTTGCAGAATAGGCCAGAAAATTGTGCCTTCACTTATATGGTGAGGGGGGTCAAGAAGCACTAGGTATAGCACCTGTAAAACACATGTTTCCTAATTTAACAAACTAACTAGCTCTCCAAAAGATTATATAAAACATGGTGCGTTTCAATATCTGTTTCAGCCCAATTTTAGAGCTACACTATTTTGGTGCAATTCAGTATTTACTGAAGATATGTTTGAAAAAGTAATTCTCTTCTTTTAATTAAATGCATTACAGTAAATCTTTGGGCAACCTTTACATGATGTCACATATGGAACGATTTGTTATTAATGAGCTTATATTTAAGTTATGTTTGTTTATTTTTTTAAAAACTGCACAAGTCTTTGGAACTTTCAAGTGTTTACCTGCATTAGCAGCTGCATCTCCAAAGGAAGAACCATATGCTAACTGTAACATTTGTCCAACCCAACTGAAAAAAACATCAAGGAGAAAAGGGGCAACCATTAATATCAGATAATAATTAGTTATGTGCAAGGCACTTTGTCATTTAATAAATCAATCATAAGAGGTAAGAACTATTATCATAGTTCCCTTTTAACATCACCTGTTAAAACAGAGGTTCAAAGAAATTAAATAATATGCCTGAGTTCATGCATTTAGCAAGTGGTATTCTTATTAATCTAGGCAGTCTAGCCCCAGAGCCATAATCTTTACCACCATAGCATATGAATATCATTACAGATATCTTTACCACAGCAACATAATATATCATTAGAGATATCTTAAAATACAGAATGATAAAGGTTGGACAGCAAATGCCAAAGAGTTCCATAAGACAATAATTTTCTTTAGAGAGAAGATTTTAATTACTAATACAGTAATATACAGACCAGAATTAAAACAGATGAAGACTGTATTTGAAGCTGATATAAATTATAGGAGAAAGTTCTGTAATTATGAGATTAAAGAAGGCTCCGTCTTTGATGGTTGGATGTCTTCTATGCTTTCCATATCACCAACATATAGAGCTCAATACTAGTATCCATCAATCATCCTTGTTTATGGCTCGACTTTCAATGTGAATAAGAACTGCCCTGAGAGTATCTATCAAGGCAAAACTCAGTCATGCTTATTTACTCTTATTACACAGAAATCATGATATTGAAAACTGTGCCAAGCAGTAAGCTGAAAGTACTCAATTTTACATTGCATGCTTTCATTCAGAGAGCACCTGCTAGCAATTTTTACTAGGCAAAAGCTGTCTTTGATGCTTAGGATAGAATCTTTTCCCCAGATCATCTTGGTTAAAATGCTTTGGAAAATACTGACAACAGAACAAGACTGTATCTCCTTCCCCTGATCCAAATACAAATTTTAACATTTCGCATTTATGTCGCTGATATTTAGTAAGTGGTAGATGAAGACTAACGGAGCAAAATGGAAGTGACAAGTTTGAATAAAAAAGATCATTAAGGGGCTGGCACTGTCATAGTAGGTTAAGCCTCCTCCTGTGGTGCCAGCATCCGCTATGGGCGTCAGTTCGTGTCCGGGCTGCTCCTCTTCCTATCCAACTCTTTGCTAATGGCCTGGGAAAACAATGGAGGGTGGCCCAAGTGCTTGGGCTCCTGCACCCATGTGGAAGACTCGGAGGAACCTCCTGGCTCCCGGCTTCAGATAGGCCCAGCTCCACCTGTTGCATCCATCTGGGGAGTGAACCAGTGTATGGAATACCTCTCTGTCCCTCCTTTCTCTCTCTGTAACTCTGCCTCTCAGATCAATAAATACATCTTTTTAAAACATCATTAAGTGCTCTAAGCAGAAATGCTATCACCATCTTGATATGGCCATTTTGACTATCACAAAATATCCTGCTGAGATTTCAATGTCAGCCCCAAAATAGTTATTATTTTTTGGGTTTAATTTTCATTTTGAAACTGTGATCTTTGAAGCAAATAATAGAAACAATATAATTAGTAACCATGTATTAGACTATAATAGAAAAGGTTGTAATAGTGTGAGAACAATTTATTCTAAAAATTCTTGCTATCCTTACTGATGACCTACATATATAATCTTTTTTTAAAACTTTTATTTAATAAATATAAATTTCCAAAGTACAACTTTTGGATTATAGCAGCTTTCTCCCCCATAACCTCTCTCCTACCCGCAACCATCCCATCTCCTACTCCTTCTCCCATCCCATTCTTCATCAATCTTTACAATACATGTTTCTATTAGCTTCTTATTTCTCATTTAGAGTTCCTTATAAGGGAGCCGTCATTGTGGCATAGGAGGTGAAGCACTGCCTGCATTGCCAGAATCCCATATGGGCCGGTTCATGTCTGGTTGCTCTACTTCTGATCCAGCTTTCTGCTATGGCCTGGGAAAAGCAGAGGAACATGGCCCAAGTGTTTGGGCCTCTGCCACCCACATGGGAAACCCAGAGGAAGCTCCTGGCTCCTGGCTTCGTCCTGGTCCAGTGCTAGCCATTTGGGCTATTTGGGGAGTGAACCAGCAGATGGAAGATCTCTCTCTGTGTGTGTCTCTCTGTGTGTCTCTCCCTCTCTCTCTCTGTAACTCGACTTTCAGAGTAAATAAATAAATCATAAAAAAATTTCCTTATGTGGTAAAATTTTAACCTCTACAAATATGAAACGTATCCTTAACATGTCCTTTAGTGACATGAACAAAAATTTTATTCATTTTTGTAGTCACTTCATAATGTAAATATTTTACAAAAATCTCTTGATAGCCTAAAAAACTGAAAAAAGTTTAAAAAGTATTTGGCTGAAACTGTGCTATATATATTTAAAAAACCCTGTCAGTCAAAACTATGTTTTACAATACTTGTTCCTATTAGCTTCTCTGTTCTTAACAGAATTCTCTCCTTCTTTCAATTTCAGGTGTTCACACTGTTGGTTAATGTACTGGATTGTGTAGATAAAGAATATTTCCTTTTTAAAATATATTTTATTTTTTATTTATTTTAAAAGGCAGAGTTAGAGACATCATTGCAAAACATTATATTAGACAGCCTTGCCTTAATATAGGATAAAAAAGAAATTTACAGCCTAGTACCTTTGCGAAAGAAGTCAAAGCTTTTCATATATTTATTGGTTGTTTTAATACATAATTTTAAAAATATCAAGTGATTGAATTTCCCATATCTTTACAAAATTATAATCCCTCAATCTCCCCTAAAAGAACATTTTATAGATTAGGTACTAAAATTAACTTCTACATTTCCAAAAGAAAATTAATGAAACAAATTTTAGAAAAAGATTTTTTAAATTTAAGTGAAAAATTAAAGTAATTTACCAATTAGTGCACTTTATTAGAAATGAAACATTTTTTTCCTCTTGTGCTCTAAGTAGAGAAAATGCTAACATTGTTAGCATTCAAATAGCTTTAAATGTGTAAGAAAGCAGTAAGAAATTAAGCACGTATTTTCCCTGCTACAGTTATTGGTGTTCTCTTTTTCTTGAAATATTAAAAAATGAATTAAACTTTTTAAAAATTAAAGCTTTAAAAATGATCATTAGCTTACTACGATTATATAATTAATTAAATTATGAAATATTTAAAATGTAAAGATGGCAGTAATCTGTTTATTACAATAATTAATCACCTCTGAATGTACAAATTTCAGTGGAGGAAACAGACTTTTCCACAAGTATTTTCACAAAATTAATTTTTACCTTTACAACCAAATAGCCCTATGCAATTAAAATTGTTAGAGTCCCTTTCTCCTTGATACTTCTATACATCTCGTGACAGCATTTATCCTGAACTATCATTTCCAGGATTTTTTTTAAGATTTAACAGAAGGTAAGTTTTTCTACACATTGTGTTTACCGAACTTAATAATCTGAATTTCCTTCTAAGACTGTAAACACAAAAACTAAAAATGAATCATTTTGCTTAAATGGCTAAAAGGGGATTTATTTATTAATTTTTTATTTATTTATTTTTGACAGGCAGAGTTAGACAGTGAGGGGAAGAAAGAGAAAAAGGTCCTCCTTTCCATTGGTTCACACTCTAAATGGCCCGTACAGCCAGTGCGCTGCTGCTGGCACTCTGCGCTGATCTGAAGCCAGGAGCCAGGTGCTTCTCCTGGTCTCCCTTGCGGGTGCAGGGCCCAAGCACTTGGGCCATCCTCCACAGCCTTCCAGGGCCACAGCAGAGAGCTGGACTGGAAGAGGAGCAACCGGGACAGAATCTGGCGTCCCAACTGGGACTAGAACCCGGTGTGCCGGCGCCACAGGTAGAGGATTAGCCAAGTGAGCCGCGGTGCCGGCCAAAAAAGGATTTATTAAATGTTATGCTTTGGAGCCGTCGTTGTGGCGCAGCAGGTAAAGCCGCTGCCTGGAGTGCAGGCATCCCATATGGGCGCTGGTTCGAGACCTGTACGGCTGCTCCATTTCCGATCCAGCTCTTTGCTTTGACCTGGGAAAGCAGTAGAAGATGGCCCAAGTCCTTGGGCCCCTGCACCTGTGTGGGAGACCCAGAAGAAGCTCCTGGCTCCTGGCTTCGGATCAGCACAGCTCCGGCTGTTAGGGCCATCTGGGGAGTGAACCAGCGGATGGAAGACCTCTCCCTCTCTCTCTCTGCCTCTCCTTTGTGTGTGTAACTCTGACTTTCAAATAAATAAATAAATCTTTAAAAAAGCAAAAACAAAAACGTTAAGTTTAATATTGAATATATTTTAAATATTTCTTTATTTGAAGCACAGCTCCGGCTGTTAGGGCCATCTGGGGAGTGAACCAGCGGATGGAAGACCTCTCCCTCTCTCTCTCTGCCTCTCCTTTGTGTGTGTAACTCTGACTTTCAAATAAATAAATAAATCTTTAAAAAAGCAAAAACAAAAACGTTAAGTTTAATATTGAATATATTTTAAATATTTCTTTATTTGAAAGAGTGATAGAGAGGGAGAGATACACACACAGAAAGGGAGAGATAATCTTCCTTCTGCTAGTTCACTCCTCTAACGGCCACAACTGCTTGCTTGGGCTGGTCCTGACTGAAGCCAGGAACCTGGAACTACTGGGTCTGCTGTATGGACAGCAGGGGCCAAATCACTTGTGCCATCTTCTACTGCTTTCCCAGGCACATTAGCAGGAGATGGGATCAGAAGCGGAGCAGCTGGGACTGGAACAAAAGCTCTGATATGGGATGCAAGACTCCCAGGCAGTGGCTTAAATAGCTGCTCCACTATGCTAGCTCCTATTTTTTTTTTAACTTTTATTTAATAAATATAAATTTCCAAAGTACAGCTTATGAATTACAGTGGCTTCCCCCCCCCATAACTTCCTTCCCACCCACAACCCTCCCATCTTCCGCTCCCTCTCCCATTCCATTCACATCAAGATTCATTTTAAATTATCTTTATATACAGAAGATCAATTTAGTATATATTAAGTAAAGACTTCAACAGTTTGCACCCACACAGAAACACAAAGTGTAAAGTACTGTTTGAGTACTAGTTATAGCATTAATTCACATTGTACAATACATTAAGGACAGAGATCCTACATGGGGAGTAAGTGCACAGTGACTCCTGTTGTTGACTTAACAAATTGACACTCTTGTTTATGGCATCAGTAATCACCCTAGGCTCTTGTCATGAGTTGCCAAGGCTATGGAAGCCTTTTGAGTTCGCCAACTCCGATCTGATTTAGACAAGGTCATAGTGAAAGTGGAAGTTCTCTCTTCCCTTCAGAGAAAGGTACCTCCTTCTTTGATGGCCTGTTCTTTCCACTAGGATCTCACTCACAGAGATCTTTCATTTAGGTTTGTTTGTTTGTTTGCCAGAGTGTCTTGGCTTTCCATGCCTAAAATACTCTCATGGGCTCTTCAGCCATATCCAAATGCCTTAAGGGCTGATTCTGAGGCCAGAGTGCTGTTTAGGACATCTGCCATTCTATGAGTCTGCTGTGTATCCTGCTTCCCATGTTGGATTGTTCTCTCCTTTTAAATTCTATCAGTTAGTATTAGCAGACACTAGTCTTGTTTATGTGATCCCTTTGACTCTTAATCCTATCATTATGATCAATTGTGAACTGAACTGATCACTTGGACTAGTGAGATGTCATTGGTACATGCCACCTTGATGGGATTGAATTGGAATCCCCTGGCATGTTTCTAATACCTCCACTTGGGGCAAGTCAGATTGGCTAGCTCCTAATTTTTAATTTTTAAAAGAGCTTTATTGGGGTATGTTCCTATAGCAAACAGTCTTGGAAGATAGAGGTCCCTCCAGGACAGAGGGTAGATTTGTGTTTCCTGACCAGGTTAATGAGAAGGGTTTGGGGGACTGGTGCTGTGGTGTATTGGGTAAAGCCGCCACCTGTGGTGCCAGCATCCCATATGGGCACTGGTTCTAGTCCTGGCTGCTCCTCTTCCGATCCAGATCTCTGCTGTGGTCTGGGAAAGCAGTAGAAGATCGCCCAAGTCCTTGGGCCCCTGCACCCACATGGGAGATGGGGAAGAAGCTCCTGGCACCTGGCTTCGGATTGGCACAGCTCTGGCGGTTGTGGCCATCTGGGGAGTGAAACCAGCAGATGAAGACACCTCTCTCTCTCTCTCTCTCTCTCTCTTTCTTTGGCTCTGCCTCTCTGTAACTAACTTTCAAGTAAACAAATACAATCTTTAAAAAAAAAAAAAAAGAAGGGTTTGGGCAGGCTTGCTAGAAGCCTTCCTTCAAGATTGGGGGATTCTAGGTTTGGAGTTGAGTGGCCATCTAAGTCAGTGTGTGCCACACCTACCTGGTCTGCTTTCCATCTCCCACTAGGAACTGGAGGGCAAGGGAAACTGATGACCATGAATCTGATGCTGCCCATTGCACCATGGATATTGAGAAACCAGGTGAAGGTAAAGCTAGTAGATGTGTCCTGAGAAGACACATCCAAGCCAAATGATGGGAGAGAAGAGTGGGCAAAATGGTGGGAGTTGAAGGAATAGGTAGTGTTGAAAGCTGGAAACAAAATCCATTTTATTTTGCAGCAATTGCTAACCCATTTCATTTTTGGTCAGTTAAACCTAGACATCAACATAGAGTGTATCAGTTAATATTAATTTTGATCAAAAACAAAACAGCTGAGGTTACAGGTTCTTCAGTATAAAATTAATCCTTAACTAGTTTATAATCTACAGCCAGCTTTTCCTGTTTTCACTTCTAGATGACTCCACATTAAAATTTTTCCCACTGCTTTGTGCAACTGCTCTTTCTCATTGTAAAGCCACCACCCCATGGTTCTTGCTGTTTCCCAATCCCCAATCAATGAAGAAATCTTTTAGTCAAAACTAAATTAAAATGGGTCTCTTTGCCTTAGACTACACTCTGCCCAAAATCCCACATTCCCCTTCCCCCCAACTTCCACCTCTACACTTAAAGTTGTAAGTGTGTCAGAAGGATGGGGGAGATGGCGCCTCATAAAGTAATCAAAAGAAAACCAGTAAATTGCATGGCCAGTTCATCTATGTTTATTATTAAGGTGATGGACTTTTATTTTGAAATCACATGGCATATTTCTGAGTCCATTCTCGAGCTATTCGCTCATACTTCGTCCGGTCCTTTCGGTAGATCTTCGCAATTTCTGGGACCAAAGGATCATCCGGGTTGGGGTCGCACAGCATAGAGCAGATGGACAGCAACACTTTGGAAATGGTCAATGCTGGCGACCACTCGGACCTAAGGATGTCTAGGCAGATACTTCCATTTCGGTTGATATTCGGATGGTAAATTCGGGTGGTGAATGCGACCTTGGGTGGTTTGAAAGGGTAATCGGACGGGAACTGGATGGTTAGGAAGAAGACACCTCCTTGGTAGGGGCTGTCATTGGGCCCCATGATGGTAGCCTGCCAGTGGAAGATGTCATTTGCCACAGGACCCGCGGAGCACTGGGCCGGGGGGTCCCGCGTCAGATCGAGGAGCTCCTTCTGGATGCGTTTGAGCGCCATCCTTCGCAGCACCTAGGGTCGGGATCCCAGGTCTGGAAAAAGGCAGAAAGCCGCGATCTGGGGTGGGAGGAATCACGAGCCGCGAGTACGCGATGTGGACTGAGGGCCCCCCGCGCGAGGGTGTCTGGGGACGTCGGGGGAGGCTGACGGAGGGTAGGGAGGGTAAAGGACCCGGGGTGTCGGGGTTTCCACCGCACCTTTAGAGCTTCGGGACACCTGTGGCTCCCGGCGGTGGCGGCGACTGCCGCCGCCGCCGCCGCCGCCGCCGTCTCCGAAGCTGCTGCGCTGTCGGGAGCCGGGAGGCCGGGCTGGGCTATACCGGAACCAGGAGGTCTAGGATACCGTGGCCTCCTGACGCCGCTGCTTCTGTCCTAGCGGGGAGGTTCCTGCCGCTAGCCCTTCAGTCCATCACTGGGGCCAGGGGCCAACGGAGATGTGTTGTGAAGTCACAGAAGCCGCGCCGCAGACGCAGTGCAGCGTCACCTAAGGGCGCGTCGCAGGGGGCGACGAGGGGAGCAGGGGAGGGGGTGGGGCTGCGGGCTCCCCGTTGTGAGGGCACCGCCCTCGCCCATAGTTATCTGAATGTAGGAGGTCGCGTCAATGACCAACCCCTCCACCTCAACACCCCTCACACAGTCACCTTCCCCAACGTTTTACCCTACTGGCTTTCACGTAATCTCTCCTCAGTCCCTCACTTCGCCTTTGGTGAACATTAGTAAACTTAATATCGGCGCAATACTTTTAAAAGTAACTTTTGGTAACGTTTCGGTCAATTTATACTTTACAAAGATTAAAAACTTTAAAAAATTTGGTTTAGTATAAAACCGCTTTAAGTTTTTAAGAACTTTTGACACGACAGAACAAGATGAATGGGAGAAAGGAAGAGAAGTAAACCAGTAGCCCGTCTGGTACATATATGCATGTTAGTTATGTTTCTTTATTAAAAAAAAATTTGGAATCGATGCTTCCAAAAACACATGTAACTGCAGAACAGAATGTCATTCTTGAGACTTTCCAAAATAGCTATGATTTACATTAAACCCTATTTGCCTGGAAAAGCCAAAGAAGTACTATCCAAACAAAATGATGTTTCCTATATTAATTATTTTACATTAATTAATAAATTGAGTTTTTACATTTTAATAAGAAACTATATCATTCATGGTGAGTCTGTTTGTTTATAAGATACTAGGTATTTTTCAATTATGAAAGTTTCCTTGCAGCAAAACTAGTTATCCAATATACTTATTCGACCAACTTAAAAAGACAAGATGATTATTTGACAGCACTTTACAAGGGGGGGAATGTACTTAGTTGTCTGAATGGGTCTTCTAGTAAGATAAAAATGTCATAAAACTCATTGGAAGGAACTTTTCCAAATCTCTGTATTATGTGATATCAAAGAAGCATATGGCATGTGTGCTTCTGAACAAATAAGCTATTCATGTGACTGTGGTGAATATCAAATTTAAAAATCTTTATTTGAGATAACTTTTTATTTACTTTTATTTTTTGACAGGCAGAGTTTAGACAGTGAGAGAGAGAGACAGAGAGAAAGGTCTTCCTTCCATTGGTTCACTCTCTAAATGGCCGCTACGGCCGGTGCACTGCACTGATCCGAAGCCAGGAGCCAGGCGCTTCCTCCTGGTCTGCCATGTGGGTGCAGGGAGCCAAGCACCTGGGCCATCTCCTCTGCCTTCCTGGGCCACAGCAGAGAGCTGGACTGGAAGAGGTGCAACCGGGACAGAATCCAGCGCCCTGACGGGGACTAGAACCCGGGGTGCCGGCACTGCAGGCAGAGGATTAGCCAAGTGAACCGCGGTGCCGGCCTTGAGATAACATTTTGTAAGAAAGTTTAAAAAGAAAACAAGGGCCAATTATTTATGGAGGAAGTATACACAATATTGCAAAAATTTAAGATAAACTTCCAAATTTATTTTTTCCCATGAGGATGACATTTGAAAATTATTTTTCAAGATCAGATACCATTAACTTCAACCTTTTTATGGTATGGACATCAAGACTATGTAATCTTGCATATGTTCTCTATGGGAAAAAAGTATGGTCATGATCCCACATCCTATCTGTGATCAAATAGTGGAGACTATGCCTTTTTCATCTATATGCACTTTATCCCCAGTTGTGACTATCATTTAGGATGTAAATGTTTGTCAATAGACTTCAATAATATATATATATATTTTTTTTTTGACAGGCAGAGTGGACAGTGAGAGAGAGAGACAGAGAGAGAAAGGTCTTCCATTTGCCGTTGGTTCACCCTCCAATGGCCGCCGCTGCAGCCGGCGCACCGCGCTGATCCGATGGCAGGAGCCAGGATCCAGGTGCTTTTCCTGGTCTCCCATGGGGTGCAGGGCCCAAGCACCTGGGCCATCCTCCACTGCACTCCCTGGCCATAGCAGAGAGCTGGCCTGGAAGAGGGGCAACCGGGACAGAATCCGGCGCCCCAACCGGGACTAGAACCCGGTGTGCCGGCGCCGCAAGGTGGAGGATTAGCCTATTGAGCCACGGCGCCGGCCTCAATAATATATTTTTAATGAGTGTCTGTGCTGCCAGTCTTGCTGTTTTCAAATCCATATTCAGCATTGCCATGTAGAATGACCTCTCCAAAGCATAAATCGATTCCTATCATAAGCTGTACTTGAAAGTTTTCAGTAACTCTCCATTACCTGCATGGTGAGTTCTAAGTTTCAAGGCTGTCCTATTAACTTGTTCGCACAGATTTAAAATTCACTCTATTCTGCTATACAGAATCTTCTGTGTGCCTCCGATTTAGCATGTATTATATACTGCATTGTTATTATCTATTTAAAACTTCATCCTCGTAGCCAGTCTGATAGCTCTTTTATGAAAAGATTGGCCTTCATCATTGTTGTTCTCTTACTGTCTAGTGCATACTGGGTACTCAATATTTTTTGGATGACTGCATGCATTCAATAAAGAATGCATGACATAATTTATACACAAATATATAAAAAAGTTATAGTTCTCACTTTCTCTATCTATCCTAAAATTTAGGTCAGAAACATTACAGGATACAAGATATTATATCAAAATAAAAACAGAAAACAGTATTGTGGGAATACGCTGTTATTCTTCATTTGACAAGGCCTAGATGACAGTTCAAAGCCACTTTAACTTTCATCTGACATAATGTAACAATTCTCATACAGTTTAGTAATAAGGGCATATTACTTTCTTCAGATACAGTCACTATTACACTTTCATTATAGATAATGAGCTGTCAAATTTTAGGAATAAAAATGATACAAGCATCCTTTCAATGTGATATACTATTGCAACACATATTTAATTTCACAAAAAGCCTCACTTTGTTGAGCAGGGCAAATCCTGTCAATGCAAACCTGGCTCTCTTCTATCTCTTTCACTGTTCATATCAATTAAAGGTCATTCATAACTTTAGCATTCAGGTTATAAATATGTGGGATGAAGTAGATTAATATCTATCAACTGTTCTTCATTTTCCATCACTCTGTCTAGCTGAAGTGTTCCATTCACTTAGCCAAGGGAAAAAAAATCACAGCTCAGCACTGATTCTTTAATTTTTCATTGCTGATGTGTCTCTTTCTCCTTGATGGAAGTTGACACAATTATGAAGTTTTCTTCTGCTTTTGTCACAAAAGTCATAAAAAAATAAGTTTAATGATGTAATTGTATCTAAAGCAGTGTTTCTCAAACTTGAGCTTGCATCAGTATCATCTGGAGGGCTTATTAAAGTACAGATTGCTGCACCCCTGCCCCAGAGTATATGACTTAGTAAGTGTAGGCTGGGGCCCCCAAATTTGTGTTTGTAGCAAGTTCCAGGTGATGCTGATGTTGCTGTCCTAACGACCACACTGTGAGAATCATTGGTTTAAACTAAATTAATGCAACTGACAGTAAAGATCAGAATTCTTGCTTTTCAAGAGAGAATCTGGGGTTTAAGGATAATTTATTTTATATTGACTTTAAATCTTGAAATGTTGCAAAATCACTTATTACAGGTAAATTTCATGTAGATTTGAATAGAGTTTCTACATAGACACTCAAATCATCTTCAGATAAAGACCGTTTTGCTTCTTCCTTTCCAATCTGGATCACTTTTAATTTCCTTGCCTGATTACACAGGATAAAACCCCAAGTTGAGTATTGAATGTAAGTGATGAGAATGAACATCCACACTGCTTTTTGATCTTACGGTGAAATAATTCAGTATTTTAAGATTGAGTATGATATGATATTAGATGTCCACTGGTGCCATTTATCAAATTAAGGCAGTTCTTTTTATTTCTAGTTTGCTGTGAGTCATTATCATAAATATATTTTGTCATATTTTCTTGCTTCTATTGTGATGTACATATTTGTTCTTTTTAAATTTTCTAATATGGTGCACAAATATTTATAAGCATCATATCATCTTGGTGAATTGACTCATTCATTCTTGTGTAATGTCCTTCCTGTCTTGGCCAAAGTTTTTTTTTTAATATGAATGTGACCATCTCTGTTCTTTTTAAGTTATCATTTACACAGGATACTTTTTTGTTTCTGCTTATGTATGTCCTTATAGCTATAGTGAGTTCCTTATAGACAGAATATAATTAGATGTTTTTAAAAATCCATTCAACCAATCTGTCCTTTAATTGTGGAATTTAATTCATTTGCATTTAAAGTAATTACTTATATGGAAAGATTTAGTACTGACATTTTGTTAATTGTTTTCTCTATGTCTTGTAGCTTTCCTCCCTACTTTCTTCTCATACTGCCTCCCTTTGTACTTCGTAGGTATTTTTTGTTGTAACATAAATGTGGTGGAATGAGAAGGCCATGCCAAATGGCCGCTGACAACAGAGTCTGCCTGGCAACAGGCTGTGATTGGATGGCCTCAGAAACTGCCTGGCAACAGGCTGTGATTGGTTAGGGCATAGACCGCCCCTTGACCAGATTGGCTGCCTTGGCTATCTAAGCTGTTGTAGCAAGTGAAATAAACGAGTCTGCAGGCTGCTTGCCTCAGGCCTGCTTTCACCCGACTCCTGGAGTCTGTGCGGTGACTCCGCGTCTCTTGCCCCCACCACGCTCTTCCTCTCAGAAACGAATCCACCACAACATCTGGTGCACCAACGTGACTGAGAGAGAGACAGCGTGTCGGACTCGGTGAGGCCCCCCCTGGATTTCGGCAAGTAGGCCCCTCAGTGTTTTGTGTGCTGTTCGGTTCTGTGAGGATGAGCACAGAATCCCCTCCTATGCCCCCTTCCTTGTCCTTGTCCTCAGTCTAAGTGACCCCAGGTTAGGAACACACCACCCAGAAGCATACGTCGCTTCTCGGCTCCTCCTTTTACTTTCGTTTCACCTGGCAAATTCACATAAGGGACTGATCATCCCAGAATTTGGAACCAAGTCATCTTCCCTCACTGAGAGAGGTGATGCTCCGGAGACA